TGCGAACGTATTGCAAGCGCTGCGCCATTATATACACTACTGCCTGTATGCCTTCCACGGGCTATACAACCCGGACAAAATAGCCGAATTTTCACGTCCGCTGCGCAACGAATATCGCATTAGGATCTGTATGCTCAACTTTCGATTCGTGGAGGCCTTTCAGCTCTGCCTGCAGAGCTGCGACAGCTCGCAGCGCACTCTCAAGCTATTTGAGTACTTCAGCAAGGACACGGGCTATGTGCCCCTGCATCGATCCGATCTCAAGCACCTTATCTATCATATGTGTGTACACTTTCTGGAGCAGAAGTTCGATATGCTCGAGTGCGAGCGCTACTTCATGGCCGATCTGGACTACTATCTGCTGGAGCTGGCCTACGTATTCTACTTTAACAACAACAACTCGGCGCTCGAGCAGAATCTCAATCAGAAGTTCAAGTCGCTGATTGCGGCATCGGATAGCAATCAAGCGACGTCGTCGAGTGTGCTGCAGGATACGGATGCCATTTTCGATAGTTTTACGGTCAAGTTCAAGACGACTCTGTGCCAGCGTCTGCTCAGCTACTGTGATCAGGATGCCAGCGGAGGCAGCAATTAGCAGTGGCTTTGGCTATGTGGTCACTGGCGACGCTCGAGGGAATCGCGGTTCTTGCTTTGAATTTTGTTAACTCTTTGTTTTCCTCCCCACATTCAACTTTGCCTAAGTTGAAAGTTTATCATGTGTATATTTCTATATATATATATATATTATTTTGTATTTAATTACTTATTTGGTTATAATTTTAAAGTTTTACGATTTGTTGTCAATTCGAGCAGGAAACCAAAGATCAATAATGGCGTCTTTAGCTGTGCCCGCCCAGATACCACACACCACACACATACACACACACACACACACACACTTACATAAGTGAATATTATATTATTATATTATATTATTGCCTATTACCCGCCCCCACACTTACACACACACACATACATACACATGTTTATACTTAATTAAAAATAATTGTTGTTTGCGGTTTTGCTGCGCATATTTATATAAATAGCTTTTACAGCGATGTTGTTTAAGTCAAATATTTAAGGCAAACAAATTGTTTAAATTTAATTTTCTTGTAGTGCTTTGTTTGCGAATTGGTTTAACGCGCTTTTTGTTTACTCAATAAAAAAAGGAAAACGATAACAAAATGTTTAAAGGACAGAACAGACACACACACACACACTTATTTGATTGATATTCAGCTTGTGATTTGCAAATTATTTAATACATATATAAAGTAACATTTTTAATAAATTACGAATATGATAAAAGTAATAAAAACTACATTTATACAAAGTCAGTTGATGATGGCTCGCTACAGCTTCAGTTTTATGTTGTCCGTGGTCCATCGTTTGCTTTGCAGGGCTCTGAGCGCATTCTCGCAGTAGAACTGCTCCTCGGAACGATCGGGCAGAGTTTGCTTCAATTGCTGCAGTTCCTGTTGCTGCTTCATACTGACCATGGCATCGATGACGGCCTTTATGCATTTGACCCGTTGTGCCAGCACCAGCTTCTCGGGACTGTTGCTCATCTTTGACAGGAAGAGCTGCAGCACTGTGGCGGGCGCCTGCAGCTCAAAGAGACGCTGCACGGCTAGGGTCAGATCGAAGCTGATGTGGAACTGCTTCGATTTGAGCGGATGCCAGCCGGACACACGCTCAAAGATGCACTCCAGATCCGCGTAGGCCTGTGACTGGGCGCGTTCATTTAGGGCCGTCCATTCGTATTGGGCAGGCGAGATTTCCTGATCGGCGGCAAAGCGCTGGGGTGAGCTGATCTTAAGCATGTCTTGTTCTTTCCAATTCTTGTTTTGGGCACAGCACGCGTAGAGTACCTCTATGGGGGTGGGGTCGTCACCGATCCGTTGGCTCAGATCACCTAGGGGCTCCTTCTCCAGGACCAGCTGGAGCTTCAATGCGGAATGAAAGACCTGCTCATATAACGGTATTATGCCCACTCCTGCGCTCGCATAGGCATCGATGAGTCGCTGCAGCTGTTGTTTACGCGTAGCCAATTCAGTGCAGGACAGGGCCGCCTGAAATTGCCTAAGAGCAGCTTCCTGATGACGCCCGAAGCGCTGCAGCGTGTCAATATAGTTGCTCACGTCGCCACATTGACGCAGATAGCTGAGATAGTGCTCCAGCGCCTTGGGCCGCTGCTGCAGAATACCATGGAACTGGGTGGCGTTCAGGGTTCGTTTGAGGAACAATAGTACTCCAATGATCGCATCACCACCGTTGGCCAATACTGCATCCAACAGTTGACGCTTCTCTACCAGTGATTTGAACATTTCCAACGGTGCCACTTTGCCATGCAGCAGCTTCTGTGCGGTCAGCTCCAGATTGGGGCTGTACAGAGTGCTCTGTATTTGACGGCGCAGCAACTTTAGCTCCTCCTCAGGCGTCACACCCTTGGGCATAACTTGATCGTCCACTGCCTGTTCCTGTAACACCATCTTAAGCGCTTCATCGCTCAGTATCGCTTTGATTGACAGATGATTCAGCGTGCCTAGTGCGGCACTATTATCAAAGCTGGCCTCAGAGATGGTGTCGTCATTAAAAATTGCATTATTATCCCATTTGCTGCTCTGACTGCCCTCTCTCATTTTCGTTCTGCCGCCCACATCACCAAGATCAACGTCCTCTTCATCATCAAAGCTAAAGGCAGCTCTCGAGGAGCGATTCCAATAGTTTTCGCTGTTAATAATATGAAAATTAGTTACTTTATTGCAATAATTTAAGTGTACTCACTCTGTGTTATCAAATTGAGATTCCATTGGTGTTTATTATTAAAAATAAAAACAGCTGATAGGGTGACCAGCGTTAAATATTATTTCGAAGAGCCGATATATTTGAAAACAAAACACTTTTATCGATAATATCAGTTTCAGTGGATAACGTTTCAAAATATACAACAAAAATATTTATTTTAAATTATTTTGTTGTGGGAAGGTCTTCTTTCTTGCTGGGGACATCTAAAATGCTTAGACTCCTGATTAAATAAGCCGTACTTGACGACGGATTGAACAAACAGGCTTGTCAGACAGGACGCCTGTACAAATTCAAATTGAGATGAATCGATAGTGGCTTGCTCGATAATTACTTTTGTTTATGAAATTGGCGCGACCTCATATATTACAATTATATAGAAGGTATCAATTTAAACATTATTATTTACACTTGTGATCTACATTAATATACAAATAGTGTTTACATAAGTAATTTATGTCATCTTCGATTACAAGTATGCTCTGTTTATTTATTGGCTTTAAAATATTTATTTACAATTCGCCAGTTATGTGATCACATTCAAACGTCAATAAAGAGTATTGCCTTGTACGACTTTCTGCTTTCTATTCTTTGTTATTCTTTCGCTTTGCTTATGCGTGCATACATATGTACCTGCATACATACATACACACATTCATACATACATACATATATACATAATCAAAGCTGCTCTCGAAGGTGATATTTGATAGGCGTTGCTGGCAGTCTCAGATTAATATAGTTTTCGCTTTTTCAGACTGAACATGCTATCGCTCCCGCTCCCGCTCCCGCTTTTGCTCTGCGGCTTGGTCTTCCGTCCTCTCGTTGGGGCTGCCAGCTTCTGCACGAAGGCTGATCAGTGCGCCTTGGACGCCATCTCTCAGGCACCGGCTGCCCAGGCCCGTTACGATCACACACGTATCTACAGTGTGGAGCTGACGACCGCCACCCAAGTGGGCATCATGCAGGCGCTGGAGGAGGCTAGCGACTCGTGCGGCTTCATGGGCCATGCGCGCATGCCCGACCAGAAACTGACAATTATGGTGACGGGCCACAAGGTGGCCGACTTCGATGATCTGCTGCACACCTACAACATTAGCCATCGCATATTGAACTACAACTTCCAGGAGCTCATCGATGCCAACTATCTGGAGGTGGCGCCAGAGAACACGCCGGCAGAAGAGTTCGATTGGAAGCGTTACTTTCAGCTGGACAGCATCTATGGCTGGCTGGAGAAACTAGAACGGGATCACCCAGACGTAGTCAAAGTGCTGGACATGGGCTTGAGTACTCAGGGCTTGCCAATCAAGGGAGTCAAACTGGCCTTTGGAGGAGAGAATCTGACCAGTGTGTTCATCGAAAGCGGTATCCATGCACGCGAGTGGATCGCCCCAGCCACTGCCACTTATTTTATTGATCAGCTGCTTCACTCCAAGGATGCGGCCGTTCGAGCTCTGGCTCGTTCCCAGAACTGGTTTATCTTTCCTTCGGTGAATCCCGATGGCTATCGCTATAGCTTCACTGGGGACCGTATGTGGCGCAAGAATCGCCAGATCTTTGGCATTTGCCGTGGCGTCGATCTGAATCGCAATTTCCCACTGAGCTGGAACACCACAGGCGCCAGCGGCAATCCCTGTAAATATGATTTCTCTGGCCCAGCTGCCGCCAGCGAGGTGGAAACGCAGCGCATCATGCAGTTTCTGGAAACCCATGTCGAGTCCGAGCGTATTCGCACCTATCTATCCCTGCACAGCTACTCGCAGCTGATCATGTTCCCATACGGCCACACGGCCGAGCGTGTCGAGAACTATGCGGATCTGAAGGAGATTGGCCAACTGGCTGCGGCGCGCATCAAGGAGCTGACGGGACGCGTTTACAAGAGTGGAAGTATCTATGAGACTATCTATCCATCTAGTGGTGGCTCCAAGGACTGGGCTCACAGTCAGCTGAAGGTGCCAATCACCTTCACGTTCGAGCTGCGCGGCCCGCCAGACAGCCAGGAGATGTTCATCCTGTCGGCCAAAGACATCGAGCCGACGGCTCGCGAGGCATTCGCAGCGGTGCAAACCATTGTGGAGGAGGCAGCCAAGCGTGGCTATTATCAGTAAATCACACGAAATTTGATTTCAAATGTTTATGAACTACATATAAAGAACAATGCGAGATAATTGTATATAATATTGTGGGTCGATTGATTAGCCCTCAAAGGAGGATATTAGAGGCGTTGTTGTCTCGACCATGACCAGGACGCTGTGAGCTAGTGGAAACACATCGTTCACCTGGACGTAGTAGCCACGCTCGCACTGCTCCTTGGATGAGTATAAGCTACAGACGCAAAGTTTTATAGGAAATAGGCAACTCATACTTTCTCATCTTACGCCAATATATCCACTGGCTCCATGATTAGTTCCGACTTGTAGACCGAAGCCAGGAAATTGGTAAAGGCGGCTGTGTTGTTGCCCAACTCCAGGTCGGCATTCGGCGTGCAGACCTCCAGGCCCAGTCCGCTGCTGCTGGAGCCAATCTCTGGCAGGCCGTTCCGCGTGCCCCACACTGTTATGATGTTGTCCTCGGAGGCAACAATCGTGCACTGATCATTGCAATTGGCCTTCTGCAGATAAGGAAAGTTATTAGGATCAGGTGAGCGGACGACGCGCTGCATTCATGGCCAACCACAATGTAGCGTGCGCGTATGCTGTCGACCAAGGTGGGGTGCTCCACGGCATTGCAGTGCCGGATGCCTCGCTGCCCCTCCTTGTTGCGTCCCATCGTATAGACATAGCCGCCCTCGACTAGGAACACCGAGTGGGTGGACGAGAAGCAAGCGTTGAGCACCTTATAGGGCAGCTGTAGCTTTTTCTAGAAGGAGATATAATTGACATAGCGATGGAAGGCGGCTTACATGACAAGTCATGGCATACAAATGCTGTGATCCGGCCTGGGCGATTGAAGCCCAGCTTGTTGTAGTTGTTGCTGCCACAGACGTGTAGCTCTCCGTTGCTGAAGAGCACAGCGGATGTGTCCGGGCCGCAGTAGATCTTCGAGACTTTGCTCTTGACATGCGACAACAATACCTTCTGTGGATGTTTTCTGTGCAGGATTAGGACAAGTTAAAGGCTGGAATTGTTAGATTTTCGATTCGCATTTCCCACTCACTGCTGCTGCTGGTAATTGCCTAGAGCCAGGGCACCCGACACGCTGGTGCCCCAAACGTAAACGGCGCCCTCGCGACTCAGCGCCAGGACGTGATGCAAGCCAGCTGCGATCTGCTCGATGCGCACATCCGCCAGCTTGGCTATCAGCTTGGGCGTAAAGTAATCCTTCTGTTCCTCCTGGCCTAGAGCGAATTTTGCATTGTTGCCACAGCTCAGCAGATTGCCGGATTGGGTGAGGAATATGGTGAAGCCATCGCCGGCACAGGCGCTGACCAAATGATAATTGCGCACGCTCTGCACCAGCCCGGGATAATGCTTCCAGGTCTCCAGCGAGCTCAGGCCCAGCTGGCCGTGTGTGCCCTCGCCCCAGGCGTAGGCCGAACCGTCATCATTGATGACCACAAAGTGGGTTTCGCTCATGGCCACGCAGACAATCAAGGCCTTCGGCGGCAGCTGGATGGGATTCATGCTGAAGCTGTTGCCAAACGCCTTCAGCTGGTACAGCACAGAGCTGGAAATATTTATATATATTTCGGATTCCTAAAGATCCCTTAACTTACCGTCTCTCGATCACCTCATGCGGTGCCACTGTCTCGGCGCTCATCAATTTCCGGGTTTGGGTCTGCGCCGTCGGCAGTTCCATGGCCAGATTGCTGCAGCTGGCAAACAGAGAAGTTGGAGCAGCCAACAAGGTGTCATTGCTGCTCAGGTTGTCCTCATAGGTGTAGCTATAGCAGGATTTGCATTGGGATACAGCCGATGTCTAGCGACAGCCTGACAACTCACCCTTTGTTCTTGCCCAGACTGCGAAAGATGAGCGGTATCCAGTAGACGAGCACCTCGGACGCAGTGGGTCGACGTGCTGCATCCACCTGCAGCAGATTGGCCAACAAACTGCGCAGGCCCGACGTATAGCCCAGCGGCACTGGGGTATACGAGCCGGCCATAATCTTGGTGACCAGCTCGGACAGATTGGAGGCAGCAAAGGTCTTCTTCAGGCAGCACAGCTCGCCCAGAATGCAGCCCAAGGCCCAGATGTCGCTCTTGTTGTCGTATTCCTTGCCCTCGCACTGCGGAGATTTGTGGACTTGAAACTAACTAAATCTAGGCAGACTAAGCCCGCTCACCATCTCCGGACTGAAGTAGTAGGGCGTGCCCAGCACAGTCTGCGCATGGATCTTGGCATTCATGATCTTCGATATGCCAAAGTCGCCAATCTTAACGATCCCTCGCCTGTTGAGGAACACATTGGCCGTCTTCAGATCGCTGTGAATGAATGATAGATGCCCCTATATATAGGTATACCTCTAAATAACTTAACTCAGTACCGATGTAGGATGTTCTCCGAGTGCATATAGTTGATGGCGCTGGAGATCTGCTCAAAGACGGCGATGATGTAGCGTTCGGGAAAATGCTGTTTGCCCTGTCGCTCGGCTATGATCTGGGCCAGGGTGCCGCCGTCCGCGTACTCCATCTCGATGAGCAGCGTATTGTCCTTGATGAAGCTGCCCAGATAGCTGACAATGTTCGGGTGATGCAGCTTGGAGAAGACCTCCACCTCGTTCATGGCCAGATCCCGGCCCGGCGGCGACAGCTCGCTCAGATTGATTTGCTTGAAGACAATGTGGTGGCCATCGACTTTGCGCCTGTACAGTATGGCTATGCCGAACGAGCCCTGACCCACCACGCGAACCTTCTCATAGTTGGCCAGCTCGGTGCCGGCAATGTTCAGCTGCTGCTCCTCCTCCTTGACCAACGCCAGTGGCAATGGCTGCACTGGCGGCGCCACCTGACTGATGGCCATCGCCTCGGCCAGCGAAGTGCTGGGCACGTGGCCAATGTGGCCGTCGGTTATGGTAAAAACTGAGGCGGTGCCGCGCGAGGAGAGCTTGCGACTGGCCACCGGCTGCAGCGATGTGGTCGTCAATGTGGTGGCATCCGTTATCCTTCCATTGAATATGGGCAGCGAGCTGGCCTTGTTCCGGAACCCTTTCATGGCAAGCACGAAAATCGAACTGACTCATCGTATCTATTGAGGGCTCCTCAAAGGATACGTCACCATCATCGTTGTGGACATTTTTCGGTTGCTAGGCGCCGCGGCTAGATAGAATAGATACCGGAAATGGAACCACCTAAGCCTCTAATTGACCTATGGGAATGAGAATTGAGCAATCGAGATTTTTGTTTGGTTTTTTGTATTATGCATGTATAATTGATCAGATCCAAGCAAAACCGGTCCACATAGAGACCTCACTAAGTTTTGTGTTTCACTTTAAAAGTTGTAACGAATCGTTACAGGCTTACATTCAGATTTTGTATTCGCATAGATTTATACAATATATATTTATATATTTAGACTTATTTAGCTTAACGAGTACACGAGTTAGTTAATGTAAAAATGTTGATGTATTTGCACGAATATGCTAAAAATCATTATTATTAATATAATTATTATGCTATTCTTGGACTATCTTAAAAAATGCACAATCTGTACGTTTTACATAGGCTGCCACTCGACTCGACTCGACTCGACTCGACTCGACTCTCCTCATGCATTTCAAATGAATTTTACTTGAATTGTTTATAATTTTTAGCGTTATTGTTAATAACTTGCACAAACTTGGCTACATGAATTGTTGCTGCTGCTGGCGCTGTACAGTGGTTATATTGTGGACAACTTATGGACAACCGGCTGCAGCGGCTCAGGGTGTCCCAGCGTTCCTACAGGGAGTTTAGCAGGTGCAGCGATTCTCGCCCGACAAGCTGCCCAGACTGAAGGTGCCCAGGCCATTCGAGCCGGGCGACTTCTTGTCCTGTTTATCATCATTGTCGAAATTGTCGCCCTGCAAGGATTACAGCATGGATTAGTTCAGTTTCAAGCTTAGGATATTCGGGAACTTACTCGTCTCTCGCGCTGTTCGCGTATCTTGCGAGCCAGCGATAGAAATGCATCCTCAATGTTGATATTCGATTTGCAAGAGACCTCGAAAAATGGCATGTCAAAGTTTTCGGCAATCTGCAAAGGCAGGAATCGAATTAGTTATTGGGGAAAATAAAAGGGAGATGCATTAATATAGAAAACAGATGGGGAAGTGATGAAATATATGCATTCAAGATCATTATTTATGAATTATAGATCAATTTCAGATAGTTTACTGTCACTTCAAATCAAATGATACTAAACTAATCTTATATATTCTATAACTCACATTTAAGTCCTTATCTATATCTATCATATATAAGCTCTGATATATCAGGTTTTCTTATCTCTTCACTGTTCTCATAAGATATCATATGTTGATATATGATAGCTATCAATATAAGTATGTCATATATCATTTCTAATATATTTTATTGCTTTCATAACACATCATACATATTTATATGTAATCAAATTTATCCGTGACTGCTTATAATATATGCTATATTATATACGTCGGTATACAAACTCAATCGTTTTCTTTGATTTGTGACATGCTGCACTTTTACGAGCAGTTATCTTTGGAATGTCTGCATCTCACCCTCACTTCATACAAATTCCCATACACCCCCACATTTGAATCTGATTTATATACATATATCATAAACAAAAACTTTTCCTTAATTACGCATATCTGATTGGCAAATGGCATTCTTTCTCGACTACTCTTATATGTCTATTATTTATCTAAAAATACAGCCAGTACATGCCCTATCTCATGCCACCACACAGTTGTCCACCGTCTCGCTTACCTTTTCGCCTCTGTCCTTGTCCACCATGCGCTGTGTCGTTGAGCACTCGCATTTGTTGCCAGCGAGCACCTTGACCACGTCTGGCGAGGCGTTCTCCTGTATGTTGCGCAACCAGTAGGACAAATTGTTGTAGCTCTCCAGGTTGGTGACATCGTACATCAGCAGAATGCCCATGGCGCCGCGATAGTAGGCCGTGGTTAATGTGCGAAAGCGCTCCTGTCCGGCTGTGTCCCAGATTTGCAGCTTTATGGGCACACCGTCCAGATTGATGAGTTTCTGTTTGAAGTCAATGCCTGGGCAGAGATAAAGGATGTTTGTTGTTGTAGTTGTTGTTGTTGTTGTCATTGAAGCCAGACAAAAGAGTGCATGCAACTGTGTGTGTGTGCGTGTGCGTGTGTATACATCTGTGGCAACACTCACCGATTGTGGAGATGTATGTGTCGTAGTACTTCTCATCGCAATACCTGTGCACGATGCACGTCTTGCCCACGTTGGAGTCACCGAGCACCAACACCTTGTAGGTGGCCACAAAATCCAAAGCCATATTGCGAAATGCTTGCGAGCGGGTTTACAGTTACAGATGAGCCTCTGTTGCCGTTGTTATTGTCGTTGTTGCCTTTTTATTAAAAGTAGTGGTAGTGGTGGTATGAGTTGAGGTGGAAATGGCGGTGGTGGGTTTGGCCGTGGGGGTTGAACGTCGTATCTAGTTTACTGTTTATGTATCTGTTTGTTGTTGTTGTTGTTTGTGGAGCAAACGCAGCTGTTTACCTACATAGATGCTGCTGCCTCTGCTGCTGTTGAATTAATTATTGGCATTTGTCAATTTTCACAATTTCCTATGCATTTTCGCAGCTGAGCTGCCACAATCACAATCATGAAAACAAAAACAACAACAACAATAACAATTCACTCTCGTGTTTAGGTGCAAATGAAATGGGAAACCCGAAAGAATTGGAAACGCTTGACGTTTTGCTTATTTATATGAATTTTTCTTTATTTATATTGATATATTTGAATAGTTTTCACTTAGGAAGAAATTAAATAACGCTGCTCGTTCGCTCCGCACAGCATGAATCAACATCGACATACGGCCTCTGCCTCTATCTCTGCTGCTGCCGCTGCTGCTGTTGACTGCGCTGCCGGAAAAATCAATAGAGCTGCGACGGCGCAGCGACGAGAATCAAATCTGGTTGAAGATGAAGAACTAACTAATCGTAATCGAAATTCAAATGCGCAGTTGTTGGAAAACTTTGGGCGCCACTTTAGATACATACATAATAGAAATATAGTTATACAAAATATATATATAGTTGATTCTGGCTTAATGATAATGATAGTATATATATAGGGGGTTAAAGTTTAACAAAGTCTGACACTCTTTAGACTGCCTCGTGCGCCTTACATGATAAATACCTTGTCGATCTTAGGTTTTGTAAACTTAACTTTCGTCACCGGGCAGGTGACGGTGCCATCATCTTTGGTTATCTTCGGCAAAGCGAGCCGGCCGTAGATCTGTCCGTTGGGCAGCATCATCGGCTGGTTGTGCTCGTTCAGGGGCAAGCCGGTGACGCGACAAATGAGACGACTCTGCACGCAGTGGGAGTATGGCAACTTGAGCGCAATCTGGTGGAAATCGTCCTGGCAGACGGGACAATTGAGATTGCGGCAGGTCTGAGAGTAGCATTGGGGCGTCTTCAACGCCGAGAGACCGGCCTGTATGGCTGCCGAGAATACTGATGTATTGGACAGCTGGAACAGGCGGTAGTTCTCGTGACGGAAGTCCAGCACGAGCTGATCCCAGCGCTTGGGATCCATGTACTTCTTGCAGTGCTCCATTTCCGAGTCAGTCGGATAGGCCAACAGTGCCATGACATGACAAATCTCAGTCAACTGCGTCTTCTCGTAGGCTGGAAAATAGCGACGCGAATGCTTGACTGCTTCCAAGCGCTGATTCTGACGCACAAGCTCCACGAACTCCTGTACACGCAAGCTAAATTCAATGGTGGAATTGATTTTCCGTAGCTTTGACTTGTTGTCAATGCACCAGAGCACGCATTTAGTCGTGCTATGATTTGCTAGATCCTCTTCCACCTCACGCGACGTTTGGAATATATCCACGTTAGTCAGATGACGCACCTCAGTGCGTGTCGCCAGCTCTTCGGCTGTCTGGTAGTAGCCCATGCGCAACAGGTGTTCGATAACCAGACGATCGATACGTATGCGTTTCCACTGATCGACAGTACCAGGAAACATGTCTCCACTGCAGCGAGGCATGATGCCCTTGAGATGATGGAGCTTGCGTTTGCATATTTGCGTGACGCTCAATTCGTCATTGATACTCTCGTCAGCTTTACGTTTAAGCACTTGAAGTTTTTGGGCAACATTGCCCATTAACTTGGCCACATCTGACAATATGGGCGGTTGCTCAGCGTCCAAGGCCTTTTCCACTTGTCGCGAAACATTCATTACTTGGTCAACTTCACGGTCGATAATCTTTTGAGCAGATCGAAAGCGTTTGTTTAGTATTTCGTACGGCACTTTGAGTGTGGCGTGCTCCAACGCCTTTATTTCCGACATATTGATGATTGAATTCTGCAGAACTTGTTATTTATTTTCGTTTTCAATAATGAAACGCAATTGGTTGCTGCTTTGTTCTACAGCTGTAAAATTATCGATGCAATTATTGATAAGTCAATATATATTTGCATCGATTGTAGCTGCATTAGCTGAGGAGGTGTCGATAGTTTTGTGTATGCCCATTTGAACAGCTGGCCGAAACATCAGGGGTGATTTATGACTATCGACTGACGAAGCTCAGCTGTATAAGATAATGAGCTAATTAAGCTTTTGTGAAGAAGTTCTCAATTAAAAAGCAATTTTTTTTATTATTGAGGGAAGGTAGAACGTTGTTAAACGTAAAATTAAAAATAATAAAGTAGACTAAATATATCGATAAGTTGACATCATTCAACTTGCAACCCTACAGCTGGCAAAGCAGTTCGTACGACGGCCATGTTATCGGTAAAGCAGGGTGCCTTCTTTCTTTCTTTTTGACCACGTTCCGTGCGAGTCGTATGAAATGAATATGAACCTAAACATTTCAAAGAAACGTAAGGTAATTAAACAAAAATTGCATTGCAATACAAACAGAAAACTGTACTGCCCTTGCGCACGTGTTGGGTGCATAAAGTTATGTGAAGAATCTACGCGGGAACCTCAAAATACAAATCCAAAGCAAAGTTAACCTCAAATCGCGGGCGTCAGCGGCAGGCGTGGAGCCCCCGTTCAGCATGATACTCGCGTGAACAACAACAACAGTGACCAGCAATGATAATATTGTTATAACTTTGAAATTTGGTGTGTTCGCCTAACAATTTGCAATTTTTGATTTATTTTAGTTCGTCTCCGACGGTATCTTCAAGGCTGAGT